AATTAGTATTTAAAAAGTACAAAGTTGCTGTTTGGGAATATGAAAAGGGTTCTGTGGATGCATGCTGGTGATGGCTGCAAAACAATGTGAATTTACTTAATGCCATTGAATTGTACACTTTAAAATGATTAAGATGGTAAATTTTGTTATATTTGACCACAAAGTTTAAAAAAATTAAAATTTAAAAGCAAGCAAAAACATGAATTCCAACTTGACCCTGACTAAACATGCTCCATGCTTGGCCACCATGGGAAACTTCTCTCCAGTCTCTGTTCCTTTAAGTGCTGCGCTTAGAAATTCAGTGCTTCCCAACAACTCTGCTTTCCTTCAAGCCCTTGCTCTTCTGTCGATACCTGCCCCTGATCCCATTCTGCCCTGCCAGAGTAGGGAAAAGAGGGGTAGAGATGGAGATGAGAACTGAGGGGCCCAGAGGCAGCAGTTTACAGGAGCAGTAAGGACACAATGAAGAACTGGACCAAGCCTAATCATCTAGACAAGGCTGAGGTAAGTTAGGGACAAGTCAGTCCTTGTCTGACTGTGGTCAGCCCTAGGTGGTACCCCTGAAATATCTTAGGCCAAGGGTTGTCACTGTGTGGCCTTAGCTAAGAACAATTTTCCAGTGGCCTCAGTGCCAGCTTGCTCATGCCAGTCTTCTATGGGCCACTGATTTTTCCTGGCTCAACTTCTATCCCATCTAAGCACTGCAGTTGGCTGCCTTCCGGGTCATACCATTCATTTGCTGATTTTTTACTTTAGCTAAAGCAGCAATCTGCCATGTTTGCCAGTCCCCAAAGGACCTTCTAGAGATGGATTTGGCCTTCGAGGCAGAGGTTAGAGTTTGTCCAATATCAGAAGTGCCGAAAAAAATGCCTGTCGACAGGCCTTACCTGGATCCTGCCAGGGACAAGGTTGTCTGAGGTGGTGAATATGAGCTGCTTGGCACTGGATGTCTCTGGGGAAGCCAGGATCACCTTCCCAGTTCCAGCTCCATCTGGGCTGGTCAAGATGAACTGCTGCTTGGGGGATCCGGACGCGTCCACTGCGGTGACTATCTGGATCTTCTGTCCTGTCTGCTGGTCTGTTACAATCTATAAGACACAACATGGAGGCTGCTCTCACGGAAAGTTGTGCGGCTCGTGCACTTGCAGGTGGTGCTCAAAGCAATGACTGCCGAGCGCTGTCCCGGAGTCAATGCTGGTCCAAGATGCAGTTTCACCAGTGCATGGTGAAATGAGAAAAATAAAACAACAGTCAGCTTTTCAGAAACCAATTTTCATAAAGCTAACTTTATTCTAGGTTGTTATCATTCCCACTATTTTTAGAACTAAAATGCCCCTTGGGGGTGGGAAGGGGGAAACTGGATGAAGGTGGCACGAACTTCCAGTGATAAGATAAGTAAGTCCTGGAGATGTAATGTACAATATGATTATTAAGAAATTATGATTACTAAGAGTTCTCATTATAAGGAAAAAATGCACTTTTTCTTTTTTCTATATCTATATGAGATGATGGATGTTAACTAAACTTACTGTGGTAATCGCTTCACAATATATGTAAGTCAATTCATTATGCTGTATATCTTAAACTTATACAGTGCTGCATGTCAATTATATCCCAATAAAACTCTAAACAGAAAAGCCCTTTCTTTCATAAAATGAAGACAGTAATAAATAGTAGATGATAGGTTTAATTTTAAAAAATAATATCCCTGTCCTGGGCATAATACAAAATGTGAACAACTCTTGACTTTTTTGAAATGCTACTGATCAATAAAATGCAAAAATCTGGAAACGATAGCTTTAAAGAAGGGCTGTTTCTGAAGAGAAGGTCCTATAAATAATCTTGCCTTGGGGTGACAGAACACAGGGAGTCCCTTGCTGACATACACCCAACCTCTCCCACTTCCTGATTCTAAACGATGACACCTGATTCTGGACTGCATCCCAAGGGCCAGCATAGGGCCTGGCACCCAGAAAGAAGATTTTAATAGACTATGGAAGCACTGAAAGCAGTGGGTGACTTCCACAGAAGTCCTGACTCTGATTCTGCCAGGGGCTCCTACCATTCAGGAGCCCAGATGTCAGAGCCCGCCTCTTCCCAGAGTCCCAGGCTAAGTGCATCATCAGTCACAATTACAATAGTTGCTATGGTGAGAGTGACTTCTCTTATTCCCACTCATAAAGTTCTTTGAAGCTGTTCTAGTCCTCGTCTTGCCTCTTGCCCAGGCTAAGTGCCCAGCTTAGAGGACTGCCCACCGTCTCCCTGAAGACACCAGCAGGCTCTCACTGCAAGCCCGAGTCTTGGGGTTGTCATCACTGGGTGTTGAACAAAGGGAAATGTGTTGTGTCTCTGGCTGGAACTTACTTCCCTACAGCAAGCATATTCATGGGCAGATGTGGCATTTGTGCCACATCTTGATACATGTTGCTTTGTGATTTGCAATTCCATGGTTGGACAGGAAACTCACATAGTCTAATACAAGAGCTCTGCCAACTGTTCAATATGGAAAACCAGACAATACTGGTTGTTCAAAGAAAAATAAAGGCAGGAAAGATACAATTACTTAGCACATGTTTACTGAGCACCCGTTATGTGTCAAGCACTGTTCCTAGTACTAGGAACAGTGATGTGAACACCATAAAGGTCCTACCTAGTGGAACTAACCTTCTAGCAGAGGAAAGAGACCACGAACACTCATATTACAGAATGTCAGTCAGTGTAAGTGCCATGGAAAAAAATTAAAAAGCAGAGTAAACGGACAGAACGTGACATAGGGAAGGAGTCGAGGGGGGACATTTAGGAAGAAAGACCTCTGAGAGAGTGACACTGAGTAAAGATCTGAATGAAGCAAGAGAGGAAGATGTGCCAAGAGATGTGGCAAAGTGTTACAGGCTGAGGGCATAGTAAGTGCAAGACCAGAAAGAACACAGACTGGGGACAGAAGAAGCAAAAACAAATCCTTAGCTGATGGCTGGGCACAGATCCCAGTAAATTATCATTTCCAACTGAAAGGTCAAAAGATCTTTAAGTCTGAAGAACAGATTTAGAGAAGGAAAAACAGTACCTTTCATTGTTATAGTTTGCGGCATACCCAGAGTCCCCTGGAACAGCAAAACATGAGAGAAAAAACCTTGTAAAAAGAATTCTCTTTCAAAAACCTTTCCTAGCATTGCTCAACTGAAAGACTGCAGAGTGGTTGACAAACCCTTCTTCTCTCAGGGGCCACAGAAGGGACTCCTGCATAATGGCCTTAGAAAGGTCTTTATCACATTGAAATCCGAGTTAAACGTCTGACTTCCTTTTCATGTCTATCAATTCTTATTTCCTTCTTAAACTGTTGTCTCTGTTAACAAACAAAATAGTCATGTGATTGAGGGGACTTTTCAATTACCAACTACGACCATGGGAAGGCTAGTTAAAAGTGCTTCATCCTTGGTGTGTTCAGAAATAACGCATGCTGTGCCTGAACACACGGTAATTTTCATGTCATTTTATGCTATTCTCCAGTCCTCTTGGTGAGCAAGGCAGGTATGAAGCTGGGGAGGTGGTGGGAGTTAGGAATGACGGGGTCTCAGACAGGTACAGTTTGCTCTTGGTGGCTGTATAAGATATCCACCCCTCCCCCCACCCCTGCCCACCAAGGATTCGGGCTGGCATGAGTTCAATGAATTATTTACAAAGATTTAAAAATCTTTTTATCTTTCCCTCCCAAAACGCTTATATTTTCCATTCAGAGAGAGCATCTCTGTGAAAAAATTAAAAATGTAAGCAGAAAAAAAAAAAATTCCCCAAATACACTATTAGAACCACAGGGTGGCTATCAAGCAAACCAAGACCTTGCTAACAAACACAGAGCAGGTAGACTCCTGTTTAATGAGACCAAGGAAACATGAAATTGAGAAGATGTATCTAGGCTCATTTAACATTTAAGTCTCCTGTGGAGGAGGGGAGGAGAGGTGTTGTGGGTCCTTAAAAGAGATGGTTAAGTCCTAACTCCAGGAGCTCTGAATGTGACCTTATTTAGAAATAGGACCTTTGCAGATGTAATCAAGTTAGAATGAGGCCATACTGGATTGGGGTAGGCCCTAATCCAATGACTGGTGTCCTTATAAGAAGGCCATGTGATGATGAAGACAGATTCCTAAAAACCCTGTAGTTTCCATTGCACAATTTTGCATAGTGTGTGAAGTTTTAGGAACGCATATGTCACATTTAGCAAAGCTGACTGTATTCTACTAGCTCAAGATCCCCTCTAGTTCTACCCCCAAAGGACCTCAATGTGACCTGACACAGTGAGTGCCATTCTCCTCCATATTACACACTCTGTTTCAGCCAGGCCGGGCTCATCATTTGTTATAAAAAACAGCCTGCAAATTTACTGTCTGAAGGCAAAAATCAGCCACTGGATAACTTTTATTCGACTTCCTTTCCAAAGTTTAAAAATTTTAAAAATTGGGTGCCAACATCTAAAATAGAATATTTCTCATAAACATCAGATCTAAGTTCTCTTGACAAATTGGAAGCTTTGGCTACCCAAATTCCTCCATGTCATTGGCTGGCTGGGTGTGGCTACCTCTTTAGATGGGGAACAGGCTCTTTGGTTCACCCCAATCCCCACCTTGCCCACCTGATCCTGTGAACACCTGAGTTTATGATCCTGAGATAGGGCTTTGCAGCTGAAGCCACAGATGGAATGCTTGTTCTACTGCTTCCCAGCTGTGTCACCATGGAGCAGTTATATGAGCCTTCTAAGCCTCTGTTACGTATCTATAAAAAAGGATTACTAGGAAAGTGAAACGATATGATGTGTGCGAAAATACTTAGTACATTGCCCAGAACATAACAGAATCTTGATAAAAGTAATTCCTTCCTCTAAGCTCTCATATGCTTCTCTCTTCACGTGGGCATTCTTGTCTTAGCCCTTTCAGCTCATCAAATCTCTCTCTCCCAGTGAGAAAATCAAGACTACTATGGCTCGTTCACTCTTTCATTCATTCCTCAAATACTTACAGAAGTCTACGCTTTGCCAGGCGCTTTGCTAGATTACAGGCATTATGAAGATGGCCTCCTGCTCTCGTGAAACTTTTAGTTTAGTGGAAAAGACTGGCCAAAACCAGTAAACAGACCAACCCATTAACAATTTCAGTTTATGATATATATTACGAGGGAAAAGATCAGGTTGGCGTAAGAGAGAATACAGGCATTTAACTTTAGAAAGAGAGGCCAGGGAAGACCTCCTGGTGGTATTTAAAACAAGATTTGAGGCTGAAAAGTCAGATAAAGGCTTATGGAAAACTATGTTCCAAGCAATTGGAAATGTTCTGGCATATGGAACACCCCTAAGAGGAAGGAACTCTTAGAAACGATCTTAGGACATGGACAATGAAGAGTGGCCCAAGGAGCCCAGAGAGGGAGGTGGGTTGGCCCTGCTAGAACTTTGGATTTCATTCAAAGTACATTGAGAGCCACTTAAGGGGATTCTTCCTCCTAAAACCAGGTTTTCAAATTTCTTATACTATTTTATATCTATATACACACACATACACACTATATGCATATGTGTATACCACATACATACATGTATGTATTATATATAAATATATAAAAAATTTGTCAGATCATTACAAATTTTTAGGCCAAGATATATTAGAGTATAAGAAAGGACAATAGCAAAGATGGTTAAATTAAAAAGAAATCTATTTAAAAATATTTTTTGGCCTATGCAAAAGGTAAATGAATCTTTTACTTAAATAGAACTTTTAACTCATATGAATAATTAGTGTTGTTCGTAGCCAACAATCAAATGAATAATTTCTCTATTTAGCCCCACTAACTCAATCCCTAAGTTTAGGTAGATAAAATATTTGAGTTTTCCTCCTTGAATAACATAAAAGAGTGTTTTCTACATACATTCAGTGGTTTAAGCAAGGGAATGATGGGAAGTGTTTTACATTTTAAACAGATCTTACTATATGTTGGATGTTAAAAACACATAGAACAAAAAGTAGCTGAGGAACTGCAAAATACATGCTGGAGGAAGTGACAGCATGTGCAGTTGGGTAGAGTTATAAGGACTGGACAATGAAGA